AAAAAAAAAAAAAAAAAAAAAAGTCTTGGGCCCAGGCCCAGGCGTCTTCTGTCTGTTGTATCCCCTACTTGAACCTCAACTGTAGTCCTCATAACTGTCCTCATACCCCTACCACTTACGGACTTAATCATAATTTTATTTGTTTGTTTTTTCCAGTTTTTGGCCGGGGCTGGGTTTGAACCCACCATCTCCGGTATATGGGGCCTGTCCCCTACTCCTTTGAGCCATAGGCACCGCCCTCTTTGTGTTTTTTTGGTTCTTTTGAGATAGAGTCTTACTATGTCACCCTCGGTGGAGTTCAGTAGCATCACAGCTCACAGCAACCTCAAACTCTTGGGCTTAAACAATTCTCTTGCCTCAGCCTCCCAAGTAGCTGGAACTAGGGGCACCTGCCACAATGCTTGGCTATTTTTTTTTTTTTTTTTTTGTAGAAACAGAGTCTCACTCTATCGCCCTTATAGAGTACCGTGGCATCACACAGCTCACAGCAACCTCCATCTCCTGGGCTTAGGTGATTCTCTTGCCTCAGCCTCCCGAGCAGTCGGGACCACAGGGGCCTGCCACAACACTCAACTATTTTTTTGTTGCAGTTTGGCTGAGGCTGGGCCCCAACCCGCCACCCTTGGTATATAGGGCCGGTGCCCCACCCACTGAGCCACAGGCACCGCCCTGCTTGGCTATTTTTTAGAGATGGGGTTTCTTGCTCAGGTTGGTCTCAAACTCTTGAGCTCAGGCAAATACCCGCCTCAGCCTCCCAGAGTGGTAGGATTACAGGTATGAGCCATTGCACCCAGCCAATCCAGTGTCTTTTATGTGATGGAGGAAACTCCAGAGTGAGCAGCAACTAATGGCAAGGAGGGAGAAGAATGAGGTCCTTGCTCGGTGAGTCTACCAGAGGGCAAGGTCCCAGATGAGGGTAATGCGGAAGTCTGGTTGTATGTTCGGGGGGTACCTACAGAAGCAGAGGCCCTCCCATTGAGGTGATTGTTGTGAAGAACAGTGAGAAGGGCCTCTAAGAGAGACTGTCAGATATAAAGGGTTCTATACATGTACCTGTGACCCAAACCATGTGTAGTGAAGTCTCCCAGACACTCTGGCTGCGGCCACGAAAGGTGCTCAGCTGTGTCTCCATGACCAGGGACTCTCCCAGTAGGAAGATGAGGAACCACAAGTAGGAGGCAGAGTGCAGCAGGAACTTCAGCACGGGAATCTTGAGCAGGCGGCCCAGCTTTGGGGAAGGTAGGGAGAGCATGGCTCTCAGTTCTGTACAGTCCCTTCTTCCAGAGAGCCCTTTTGGACTGCTAAGCCTGCAGGTGACACCCTTTTCTCAGACTGACTCACTCACTATTCTGAGAATGTAGTATATATGAGACTATATATCATCTCCTTTTTTTTGGAGACAGAGTTTCACTTTGTCGCCCTCGGTAGAGTGCTGTGACTTCACAGCTCACAGCAACCTCAAACTCTTGGGCTCAAGTGATTCTCTTGCCTCAGCCTTTCAAATAGCTGGGACTGGGCGGTGCCTGTGGCTCAAAGGAGTAGGGTGCCAGACCATATGCCAGAGGTGGCGGGTTCAAACCCAGCCCCAGCCAAAAACTGCAAAAAAAAAAAAAAAAGAAAAAACAAATAGCTGGGACTAAAGGCACCTGCCACAACACCTGGCTATTTTTAGAGATGGGGTCTTGTTCTGGCTCAGGCTGGCTTCAAACCTGTGAGCTCAGGCAATCCACCTGCCTCGGCCTCCGAGAGTGCTGGGATTACAGGTGCGAGCCACCGTGCCTGGCCCTATCTATTGTCTCCTTCACCACCATATGAAGTAGGCATTATTATTTCCATTTCTGTTAGGAACTGAGGATCACAGAGGTAAAGTTACTTTCTCTTTTTTTGAGACAGAGCCTCAAGCTGTCACCCTGGGTAGAGTGCCATGGCATCACAGCTCACAGCAACCCCCAATTCCTGGGCTCAAGTGATTCTCCTGCCTCCACGTGGCTCCAAGTAGATGGGAATACAGGTGCCCATCACAATGCTTGGCTATTTTTGGGTTGCAGCCATCATTGTTGTTTGGTGGACCAGGCTGGATTTGAACCTGCCAGCTCAGTGTACGTGGCTGGCGCCTTAGCCACTTGAGCCACAGGCGCAGAGCCAAGTTACTTTCTCTTAAAGGTCCCACAGCCTCTTCAAACTCAGTCATATTAAAAAATGAACCCATCATCTTCTATCCCATCTTGCTCCTTCTTCTCCTATGTGCCCACCTCATAAAATGACCTAGTAATCCAGTCCAGAGGCTACTCCTGCCCCCACCTGTTAATCCATCTTTCACACCCCCAGTCAAAGCAGCTTTCCAAAACACAAAACTGTTGGCGGCACTCAACTCATTAAGCCTACCATTGCTTCCATCTTCACATGGCTTCTAAGGCTCTGTGAGATCTGGCCTCTGCTCACTCCCATACCAACCATTATTTAATTCCTTTCAGATTCTCTAGTGCTTTATATTCTCTCTCCCTAGAACTTTGCACATGCCATTCCTGCTTCCTGGAACACTCCTCTCCTTATTCTTTGCCTGGTTGACAGAGACAAGACTTGTTCTTCATTTTGTCCCCAGTACCAGGCACAATGCCTGGCTCATGTAGGGTGTTGGTTTTGTTTTTAAACATTATTATTATTTTTTTACAAAATGCCAATTTTATTTTATTTTTGGCCAGGGCTGGGTTTGAACCCG